GTCTGATCAACTGAAAGGACGAAAATGAATAAAATTCCTAAACTTGCATTTTCAGACTATATTATAGCCTTCTTTAGCTTTCAACCACCCACTTTACGATTTTGCACTTCTCATCACCACTTTATTATTGTATTTTATCACCTTTTTAACCGCCAATTGACTACATTCCACTTTCCATCTACTATCTATGAGCCTTTTAAGCACTGCATTACTACTACTCACATTCTAAATTATTATAGCATTTCTTGGGGAATCTGAGAAAAGTAGATAATTTATCTCTTTTTTTCCGAATATTTGAACTGATCTGATACCTTCTGCTGCATGCGCGTCAGGAGTTTATTTGAAATGAAAAAGAGTTCTGTTTTATTTTGGTTTAAATTAGTTAATGTCTCAATGGACAACCTTAAGACGTATTTTTGAAGATGCATAAGGTAATGTAGTATACTTATTTAATGAATTCCTATAATAAAACAAATATTTTGTTCTCATTGCTTTACCCTGAGTGAGAAGGCTGATTTCATTTTGCTGCCTTTCTCGTTTTCTTCGTATTTGTCAACGAAAAAAACCGATGCGGCGACCACAAAAACGGGGTGGGAAACTGATACATGAAAAGAAAAAAAACACTTGCTGTGGCCTTCAACTCGATATTTAGGTATATCGGCGACGTAGTATTAGTTAACAATAGTTAATTCCATTCATATGTCGACTCGATATATCCCCTTGAACTTGAAATAAAAGATACAACAGAAACTGATGTATCTGTTTCATATTTAGGCCATTCCAAGTTTTTTCTCTGTTTAGCGTCCACCCATCTTTCAAAAACCTACCTACCTATTCGCAAAAAACACACAAGCCAAAAAATAAAACACAGACTTTACAGTTATAAAAATGACATTATTCAAAGAATTTGATTTCATGAATCTATTTTCTCCTAGAAATTTCTTTTGTTTTGTAAAATCAAGGTATTACATACTTAAAATATACATAATGTGACATACTAGAGAGAAATATTTAAAGAACTTGACAAATTTCCGAGATTTTAACCAAAAAAATCAATTTTAGGACTCCTGATTTTGTTTGTTTTTTCTGAAATGGGGTGTCAAAAACCAAGGCGCACGCGGACGCTAAACATAGAAAAAACTTGGAATGGCCTTATATATTTCACTAGAAAAAGATGTTAACCAAACAACAAAACGTTATGATATCAACTTTTCTATCGTCAACTTCCCTTCTTCAATATTATGTGATGAAAAACTGCAAGGAGTATTCGAATTCGTTTAAAAACAATATTTTACGTATTTCTTTGAAAATTAATTATCCTTATTTTCATTCTTCTTCCAACAAAGGAGATATACCCTTATCACCTGCATATAGAGTTTATGTCTCCCAGATGATTCGATACGGAAGAGCATACTCTACGTACAAGCATTTTCTGAAACGAGGCAACAACTGACAACAAAATGATGAAACAAAAATATCAACAATCTCTTTTAAAGCCAACATTTCGCAAGTTCTATGGTCGATGACCTCCTTGTCAGCAAATACAAACTATCATGAAGTCGAATGTTGACCGACGTTTTTCATATTTATTGTCACGGCATTATTTATACACTTAATTGTCTCCGGATTTTTTCCGTTTGCCCGATCATGACAATGAGCACATGGCGGATGTGACCGGTGGACTGGGGATGCTTACTCCTCCATGGCACCTTATCCCAACTCCGATGCTTTTAGAGGTCCCATTTGCTGTGCTCTCGACCTGTATTGTTTCAATGGACTTCTGTCTTTGATTACTGTTTGTTTTCTCCATATTTCATGTATAGAATATGCATAATAATTAAAAATAGATTTGGATTCTTTCCTTTTGGAATTGAATATCTTTTTTTTTTTCAAAAAAATCAAATGTAGCATAATAGCTACTGTAGAGATAAGTCAAACTATCATGTTGAAAGATCAAAGCAATAAATATTATTTATTTAACTTGAACGTTCTTCATGAATTTTTTTGACTCTATAATCGAAAGAATGTCAAGAGTTTGTTTAAAATGGTACAGTGAACCTTGTCTAATCCAGATGTTGTGTATTCCAAAAGCTTGCCTAATACGATGTTTACATTAAGTCCCATTCAATATTAAAATTATCTTGTTTAAAATGTTGTCTAATCCGGAATGTTGTGTAATCCGGCCATTTTTTATGGAACCAGTGATAACCGGATTAGATTAGTTTTATAGTACTTTGTTTTCTACTTGGTTCCTCTATCTACCCAACGGTCACCTGGCTATTCATCACCTTTTTAACAACCACCCGATTATTTATCACTTTCAATTAAACACATTTGAACCACACTCTGATGGTCTGTGCCCTTCTTTCTTTTCAAGAGTGATTAATGTGCATTTTCCAGTACATCAAAGTATGTTATCCGTCTATACATTAGCCACCAGCAAGATAATGTTGAGAATTTTTATCCCAAAATTACATCTAAATAATGAATGAATAATTTAAATTTATTTTCAACTTCCAAACTTTAAATGCAACCTCCTTAAAGTTTATTTTTTATTATTCCAAAAATGTAGGCTTTTGTGTACTTGTTGACATACGTACGGTGCTAGAGAAAGGAATTCAGAGAGAAAAATGAAGAGGAACAAAAGACTTCTTCATTTCAGTGACGTTTGCCAAAACTTTATCGACTGAGGAAATATCCCGATTTCATATCTTGTAAGACAAATGTATCAAATATTCCTTCCTCAGCCTTTCTTTAAAAAAAAATGAAATAATAGGTTATGCACCTTGTAATATTTCAGATTATTAATCATAGCCCTAATATATTTACAATATTTTTTTTATTTCATTTATTTAAAAAAAAAATATGTGACAGACATGCAATTTACATTACTTTTTACTCACCGTTCACGGTAGCTCAGTCGGTAGAGCGCTCGCTCCGTGATCGGGAGGTCGTGAGTTCGAATCTCGGCCGCGACTGACCTAAGTCGATAAAAAATGGTTAACAACTGTTCCTTCGCCATGCACTCGGCACTTTGAAGTGAAAGTTGCTGGTCCTTCAGATGAGACCTTAATAGCGATTCTCTGTAACCACTTAAACTTCTTTGCCACGCATGGTCACCGATTTTGATGAAACTTTGCCCATTATTTCAACTTGACACCAGAAACATATATCAAATAAAATTTCGTTGCTATGTGTCTTGGTTGCCATGGTAACAGCCAGAAAAGTTGGGAAAATTGAGATTTTCAGCTACTTCGAATCTTTATTAAGCCTTAATAAAGACTAAGAATAACAAACAAACCATTCTCACAAAAACCTGACACCTTGCTGCCACTTATGCTATAAAGAAACTATTTAGAATTTATCTCTAAGTAAGTGGTAACCATGGGTACATTTGGAATACATTTTAGATGCTGAAAAATACAGAAAAACGCTCAATATTCACCAATGACAGGTTTTAAATGATCAAACTCGATCAACAACCTAAGAAAAAACAATAAAAATATTTGACCTTAAGTAATTAGGTATTGGCAATATTATTCTAAAAATAACTTTCATGGTTGCCATGGTAACACAGTGTTACCATGCAAAATGTGTTGCTAAGATTGGGTTAATGCTACGATCTTCGAAAAAACAATAAATTTCATGACTGGCACATATACATCCTTAGGACCTTGGAATACCGACAACATAAGAAAAATTGGGATTAATTGTTACGTTGCAGTGTAACCATGGAAACAATGTACCAGTTGTTTAAAGTGATTTTTTTTTTGCTGCCTTAGGAATTTACTTACCTTTTATTCAAGAAACATATTATTTGACTCACCTTGAATAGTACTTATTTGGTAGAACTTAAGTTGAGTATCATATATTGATAACATTTGTTGAAAAATACAACACTGTTGCTATCGTAACCAAGAAGGGAAAATGTTCAATTTTGTTAATTTCATATCAATATTAAAGCCTATGTGCCAGCTTTTTGCATCCAGTTAGAGATTGGGTGGCAGTCAAAATTGAAAGTCAGGTTAGTTGTTCATAATTATCAATCATAAAAGTTTTGGGAATCTACATACAAGGGTACGTATCCAAGGAAACAGAATATTTTTCAGATTTTTATGCATATTTTTTCGGCTTATTTCCATAGCAACGCTCTATTTAAAGAATTGAATTTGAATTTTTTGAAATGTGAAAATTTGGGTCACATGAACGTCTTTAAAAATTGATCATTAGTTATATAGAAATATGCTTTTTAAAAAGATAGGATTAGAATTAAACACTAAGAGAGTGAATTCAAAATCCCTTTGTGGTATTAAAACCATGGCAACCATTGCCAACCTATAAGAAATATCATATTTCTTCCTTGGTATATGTTACAAGGATCTTTTGTCTATAATTTGCTTACATTTCAACCTACAATTTTTTTTTTATTCTTAAGTGTATAATTTCATAAAATTAAATGGGCAAAATTATTACTTTTGAATACTTTGTTTCCATAGAAACGTATGTAATAGTTGAAATACCAAACATGTTTATCATGCATTTAAGACATCAGGCCTTCAACTTTCAGAAACAATCATTGCCACTTATTTGCTTTGCTGCAAACGTTAACTGGGGGACTCTGAACATGTTGAAAAATGCCATTTTTCAAACTTTAGGACATGTTGTCATGGTAACCATGACACATAGCAACCAATTTTTGTCTGATTTGAGTTAACGGTGTCAAAGACTTTTATCATAGAGAGTTTGGAGAAATTCAGAGACTATGCGTGCCACAGCTCCTATATAAATGTTCAAGTCGTTACAGAGAATGGCTCTTAAAAAAGGAGGTCTCGTGTCACTGCAGGCATTGGCACGATAAAGATCCCTCACTGCTCAATGGCCCTGAGTGCCGAGTAAAGGTAAAAAATTGAAGCCCTTCACCGGTATATGGTGACGTCTCTATATTAGTGAAAAATTTTGGAATGGGACGAAAAACAACATACAATCAATCAATACTTTACCTTTGTTTCCTTTTTCACTATTCCATCCACTTTTTTGTGTTGAAATTAATGAGAGTTGGCCATATAATGGTGAAATTTCTAGTACAGTTGTTGATGTTGCATCATTACGACTTATTTTCAGAATAGATCTAAAATTTGAAAAGGAATCTGTAAATATTAGGAATTTAAAGATAATACCATAAAACGTATTGTATCCTAATGTTAAATATTTAAAATCTTCGAATATAATGTTTGTCAAATTTAAGTTTAAAAATAAACAGAGAACACGAGAAAAGAATCATACCTTTGACCTCTTAGTAATCCATATAGAAATTGCTTGTCTACATCAATGTCGACAATCACATGCTTGGATTTACTATAGAAATGTCCTATCTTCCCTTCAGAAGTGACGTCAAAAATTGTGTTCGAATTGATATCAGAACAGCAGAATACAGAATCTAAAACAAGAAATGTAGAATTTAAATATCCTTATTTACAATAATAATTTAATATTCATTAAATATATATATCAAAATAATACTAAATTTAATCACACTACATTAATCAAACCAGTCACACCAGCCGTGAGCCCTATGTATTGATCAAATTTAGTATTAAAACAAAAGCCTGATAATTTATATTAAATATGTGTCAAAATGCGACCCAATGATAGGTAATTATAATGACCAGAGAGTTTACGAAATGTTTACTTTAAACGAGGTTGGTGAAATCATTCTTACATCAACGTTTCTATCAGTAGCCTGCCAAGGTTTGAAAATTTATCGTACTCGGTACATATACTTGAGTATCGAATAAGCTGTGAGACATTATGTGCAGATGATAGCGGAATATTACTGCATAAATAAGGAAAGAAGACTATGGAAATCCTGAAGTCATCCCATTTGTCATGCATTTTGGTTCTTCGTTGGCCCTAATCATCTATAGTCAGAAATACAAAAAATATGAAACACATGGGGAAGATTATGTCATGTTTTTTTTTATTCTTAGTGCACAGGCATACAACATAGTATACATTGCTTTTTAGTGAAAAATCAGTTTCAGAAGACAGGTAGTCCTCTTTGAAAAAAAAGCGAAAAAAGGTGATGTTAGATGGCCTCAGGGAGCAGCGAGTAGCCATATAGTTTGTTTCGCACTCGGGAAACATCTATAGAAACTCTGAGAATGCGGGAGAAACCAGGAAATATATCAGAAGTGAGTCGTGCGTTTGTATATTAATGGTAAAGACAGTTCAATGAATCTACAATATGCATGTTGGATACTTACCCCTAGGGTATGTAGCTAGTCTACAACTTCCATATTTCCTTATCTTTATCCTGGTTGTTGTGTTGTCAAACAAAGAGATATTTCTTATCGAATATTCCTCCCTCTTCTCCGATATGAGTACAATTCTTAAACAAATATAACCCAAATAATGTGATTTCTATGATAAAAAAAAATCCCGTAAATAATCGGTGACTTTAAAGAAATCTGATTTAAAAGAAGGCCGTTATTCTTTTAATAATAGTCCAAATGTGACTGGCTGCAGGTTATCACAAAATTTGATGTAAATATATTCTACGCACCCATTGTTCAGATCGCATAGTATATCACCTGGGAATTTCAGGTCATCAGCTATAGTTTTGAACATTTCAGACGTTATATTGTATTGCAGCAACGAGCTTGAGTCGTTTTTTCTTGATGTGAATATAACTGCTGAAGAATCACCACACATGTGATCAAGATTCGAATCTAAAAGTAAATGTTACTTTGATCAAGTGCAGCGATATCAGTCGCTCGAGTAAGTTTTGATGTCTAAGGTATGACTAAAACATATTTCTACGTTGATGATAATTAAGTTTACAACAGGGTTTAACTGCCACATTTAACATCGTTATGTAACATTTTGATACATTTGCACTTTCATGGTAAATATGTATCGTATATGAATATTTAGTGCAAACTAATAATATAAAAATGATTCCTTTACTTAAAAGGTGATAGAAAAACCATTACAATAAATAAAAATAGCATCAAATACCTTTCAAAACTTATTAATTTCTTATTTTTTCGGTACAATGTGGTAGAGTGAATAAAATATTATCTTTTAATTATTAAACCTTACCAGAAAGGAAAACCGTTGAAGTTACATAATTCTTTACTATGACAACTTTTTTCGGATAGCCGATGTAAACATTGCTACTCGTTGGATCAAAGTCTATTGCTTTCACATCTTTTTCTGTTTCTAGAACAGTCTGAAGTTCAAGTGTATCCTCATCCACAATATATAAACTCTTCATTATGTTATCTAGTAGTAGGATTGACGTTTTGATACGTCGACCTATAAAAAAGTGAAACAATCTTTAGACGAATACCTTCTCTATAACAGAAAAGTAAAAAATTGTCCTCTAATACAAGAAAGTCATAGTTGTGAATATAGTGTGTGTGTGTGTGTGTGTGTGTGATAATAAAAGTAGGAAATCGGCGAGATGGAGAGTCGTTTTTGAAGATTCTGTTCAACGAGTTTTATTTTTCATGATTTGGTATATGATGTGAAAAGATAAAAAGTATTTTTGTTTTACCAACCTTTGTCACAAGACTTTTTGTTTGATGATCATGTGTATCCTGGTTTGCAAGCACAAAGTCCCTCAGACACAAGACAAATCTGCTGGCATCCGTCATTCATGTAAGTGCAGCGATCTAAAAATAGAAATCCCGATTTATGAATTAAACATTGCAGTAGTGTAATTATGTGAATAATGTTAAGTAGCATTCCAATATCCTATGTAAGTTTCCCTTCATAAAAAAATTTGAATGATATTTTAAATATAATGATCAATATGTGTTTTATTTATCTTGAAATAAGAATTCAGAAGTTTTACTTTTCGTACCTTCGTAACTCTACTTTTGGAACTCGTCATAATAGAATATGTCCGATATGTCCGATTTTATTCCTGGTATGTCCACACAAGACCTTTCTTTTGAAATACCATACTGAAGCCAGCAGAGTTCAGCATTTTCACCTTCTTTGTAAACTATCCACATTAGCAGATGCTGTTCAATAAAATTAACTGAATCAATTTAAATCACCTTAAAAAAAAATCACAATTTTTATGCTGTAATTTAATGTTAAAAATGTACAAAATGAAGTAGGAAGAGTTTAATGACTTCAAATGACTGATAACATTAAATGTAAAAGACTATGGGAAAAAATGTTAATTGATATATCATAAACCAGCCACAATTTATATTATTTTCAAGGCATTTCGGGTACTATGGTACGCATATTGATATGGATGATACAAAATCTATACATTGTTTGAAAAATATTTGAATGCATACCTTGTGAAGATGCATTTTTCCAACATGGCCTTCATGTGCAACAGAAACATGAACATCTGTGCCATCAAAGCTTGAACTCATTATTCCACCACATGCTGACCACAGTAACCTCAATAATGAAATGTAAAACTAAATAAAAATATTTAAAAAAATAATAAGTAAAACACGTGCCGTGTGCTTCTTGTCATGATCGGGAAATAACGGAAAAATCCGTCGACAATTCAGTGTGCAAATAGTTGCCGAACAATTAGCATGAAAAAACGTTAGTCAGCAATTGACTTAATCATAAATTGTATTTGCTGACAAGGCCATTGTATCGACCATAGAACTTACGAAATGACGACTTTAAAGGAGACTGTTAATATTCTTGTTTAATCAACTTGTTGGTCAATAATTTACCTTGTTTTAGAAATTGTTCATACGTAGAGCATGTTCTTGCGTATCGAATCAACTGAGAGATATAAACCCCGTATGCAAGTGATGAAGGTATATTGCTGCATAAGTAAATGAAGTTGACGATTGAAAAGTTGAAGTCATCATGTTTATCATATAGCTTGGTTGTTAAATTACCATTAACGTCTTTTTCTAGTAAAAAATCCAAATATGAAACAGATATGTCAGACTCTACTCTGTGGAATTTTTTATTTAAGCTCACCGGGATATATGGTATCGACATAAGAAAGAAAATAACCATTGTTAATTAACACTACGTTGTCGATATATCTAAATGTCGAGTTGAAGGCCACGGCAAGTGTTTTCTTCTTTTCACATTTAAGATTTTGAACAAATTCTGCTTCTTATAAATAAAATAATAGGTCTGCTAATGGGGCGCAATTGGTACCCATGGGAATTCAGATAGAGGAAGACCTGGTCTCCAAAAACCAAATAGAAATTGTCAATCAGAATCTCAAGCATCGTTTTAATATCAACTTCAGAGTACTTGTGTGAACAATTAGAATGTTTTTAAACAAATTATTTTGCAAATGCCCAGTGAAAAGGTAAGTAAATTTACGAGTTCCATTTTATTGAAAAAGCAATTGTCAATGATATCAAAAACCCTAGACTTTAATTTATCGTGGGGAATGGTTGTATATAAAGTTGAAAAGTCGTAAGATTTTATGTGGTTGATTTTGGTAAAATTTTGTGATTTCAAATTTTCCGAATGTTCCTTGGAATTTTTATGTATCCACATCTGATTTACACCACTTTTCGAATATATTGTTGCTCAGTTCTCCTGATGTTTCTCCGTCACTGCTGTTAATTTTTAGTAAGGATTAAAGAAAGGGGCTTGGTGGAACATTTAGTGGAACTCGCTATGTATTTTTGTTTGTAAGGATTTTTTATGAAGTTTTGGAATCCAATATAGATTTGTAATTCAATTTCATGTTGGGAATATTGAAAATATCCAAAACTGACATATGATTTTGAAGAATTTCCTCCTTAGAAAAGGAGCTATAGGTATAAGTTGGATAACCACTTGTAGAATTAAATCCCTTTTCCTCTAAAATACGATTTAAATAATGAGCCTTTAAAAAAAAGACAATGTTGTTACCTGCATTGTCAGCAGGGACTAGTACATGCTGATCGTGTAATCATTTTAATTCTTTTATCACATCTGAATTATTGAACACAGAATGATAGTTGGTTTTCATTTGGCCCTCAGTCGCTTAATGAGAGATTTTAACAACAACGCGTCAAGGTCTTCTTATTCATGTCTCGCCAATCGCCTGGCGTAATAGTCAACAGAATCCAAAATATTTATGAAATTTCGACGCCAGTGAAAAGATCGAGGCTAACTAAATTTTAGCCATTTTAAAATTAATGATTTAAGGTCCTCATTATTAACTATATTTTCGTCAGCAGTAATAATGTGTCCAGCAGGACTATAGTTACGGCGCACCTGAGAGCAGTTGCGTTTTATGTTCATTTACCATAGTTGATAATAAAAAGATGCTTTAGTTTCTGATTGACAATATCTATGTGGTTTTTGAGATCAAGTCTTCCACCAATCTGTAGGAATTCCCATGGGTAAAAAATTGCACCCCAGTATTAGCATACCTATTTTTTTATTCATATGAAGCAGAAGTTTTTCAAAAACGTCTACATGAAAAGAAAACGGCTCTTGCAGTGGAATCCAATTCAACATTTAGATATATCGACGACGTTCTATCAATTAACAATAGTTACTTCCATTCATATATTGGCTCCATATATCCCTGTGAACTTGAAATAAAAGACATTACAGAGTCGGACACATCTGTTTCATATTTGGATATTTTGCCTGAAAAAGACGTTAATGGTAATCTATCAACAAAACATGATGACATCAATTTTTCTATCGTCAACTTCCCTTATTCTTGTAGGAATATACCCCTATCTCCTGCATATGAAATTTTGAAAATATGAAAAATACAAAACGTGAATAACATAATGATTTCGGAACTCTAAAATACCTTTCGAACTATAGCTATCATGTTTCACAACAAGTTTAAAATCCATTCATTACTCACCTTTGATGGTGGGCAAACACACTAAGCTTACTAATGGTTAGGGAGGAAATCAATGTTTTTTTCTTAGTTCCGTCGAGATTAGACCTCTGAATGCAGTTTTGGTTCACGGGATTCCAAAACAAGTATCTTAAAATAGAAAGAAAGATGCATAAAAATTCCACACTTTTGGTGATGTTTTTCTTCAGTCATTAGTATTTTGTTATCTCTTACCCTTTTTGTGAGTCTACGGTTAGGTCTTGTATATAGTCGGAATCTTCTATCACGATATGTATAGAGGAGCCATTATATCGTTTGATTCTATTTCTCTCTCCAAAAAATAATGAAGAGGTATTTTTATCAAATGATAAACCTTTAAAAGCAAAACAAAATTCATTAATTTCATTTGTATTTGTACACTCAACTTTAGAATGTATCTATACCTGCAATGTACAGGAGACGAACACTGATGTATTTCATTTGAAATATGTCTTTGTTCATTATTTTGAAAAAAAATCGTGATGAATTTTCAACAAATTGGACTAAGAAAATGTCATGAAATTTCAAATGTAAATAATTTTTTTCATTATTATTATTGCTTCATTTCTTCTATTAAAAAGAGTGATAAAAGACATCACATGATAAAATTTGAATGCTTATTTTAACTAACATCTTTAATTATAACTATTGACACGACGTTTTCTTTTTGAAAAAGAGGTAAAGAAACTGACCATTCATTGAGTCATTGCTAGTGACAAGAACACTATCTCTGTAATGCTCTGATCCTAGTATATTGCGCTTTAGTTTCCATACATTTCTATCCACAGAAATGTAATACAGATGCTTTTTGTTTATATCCATCTCTATTTCGCGGACATTTTGCACATCTTTAGAACACAGGAACGATAGTTCATTCTTCTCTGACATTCTTAGACTAGAAATGTCAGTGACACAGATATTCCCTCCTATCACGGTAAGTAAACCACTTAAGGTATTTCTCCGAGGAGCTAGAAATGAAGAAAAAATCAATATGACATGATTATATGTAAATATAAGGATTGCGTAGAGAAGGACACTGTGCACATGAACGTTAAACGCATGCTAAACAAAAAATATTTTACAAAACAAAAATGGATGAAAAATTCCTGTTTATGTAGCAAATAATGAAAGAATTGTATTTATCTTTTCTTTTGGCAGAGATTCGAATGCAGACATGTATTTTTTATATATACATGTATATCCAAATTGTTTTATCAATAATTAATATTATTTTGTAATATAGCCTTGTATCATCTAAACTAATTACTTCATTCAATTTGACATTTTTTTTCTGATGATGTGTTAATATCTGATTTTATCTTCTTTCTTTAAATACTTTTTTTCATATTTTATATGAAATATTTCAAATATTTTAAGGTGTTTATTGGTGACTAATATATTCACTGAGAGAAGACTTATACCGGGTATAAATTTGATATTTTTAAGAGCTATTTTGATTATTTTGCTGAAGTTACAAAGTGGATTTGTAACATAAAATCATATAAAGTAAAGTATTGAATATTACTGAGGATCAAATAAATATAAATGCACCTCTTAAAATTCGAAAAATGCTAAACGGTTATTTAATGATTTTACATACGAACACAATCCCTTTCATTTATCTGAAGACTATGACCGTCGTAACATCTGCAGAAAGTTTTATGTGCGCTAGATGTACATACTTCACTGCATTGCCAGATGCATGGATCTGAAGATAAAAATATAATGACTTTTACATTGTATGTTTTAGTAAATAAAAAAAAGTCAGATGCAACATATACCATTGTATCTTAATTATCCTTCAGATTAAGCTATATCTCATGCACTGTAAAAATAGTCTTCATTTTTCTTACATAACATTTTTAATGTTATTTTATTAATTATATTTTAAATACTGAAATACTGAAATTCATTTTCTGAATAAAAGTGATATTTTTCTCACTGTGTGAAAAAATATCAAACTGATATTTTGACACAGTGTAAAAGAATATTAGCAAGAAGTGCGTCAAATCCGCGATACGGTTACGAAAAGACAGAGGCAAAGGGAAATCAATAACATGTAATAAACAGAAAATTAAGTATTTTGTAGTTGAATATGGTTTTTATGTAACTCTTGAGAGGGGATTTTTGATTTTTTCACGGATACAACGCACGATCAAAAAATCA